ATGATTTATATATATATATATACACAGTACAAAGTCTGTAATCCAGACGTCCATTATCCGAATACTATATTCCTCCTCAAGCACGACTTTTTTTTTGTATGCTTTACCTTGCGCGTTAATGTTTACGCTGCCATTTAGCACAAAATGAAGCACTTAAAAACGTACTTGAAAGAATGTTTAATAGTAACAAATAATTTAGCTTTTTTTTTGTAATTTTGATACCTTAGACATAATTCTCTTTATTTCATAAATTCGGTTCATATTTTTTTATTGTATATTCTGCAGCCATCTTACCATATTAAATGATGTCTATAATCCTGAATCGCGAGTTCCGATGAGTCGTATACGGACTTTGTACTGGATAGGCACAATACTAGGCTCCAAAGTAGTTTCCCTATTTAAAAAAAGAACTCAGGAACATATTTTTGGCAACAAGTATAGCATGTTTCGCTATTTTCACAAGCCGACCAGAATTGAGACTTATCATGGATCAACTTTTGTGTCCCTCGTCGTATAACTCTGCCCTATAAATGGAACCCATTCTTCAGTCTTCATCTGCCAAACCTCACCGGAGGACAGGAATTTCTTAGGTGCAGAAATTGAACTCACTTTATCAAGATATGGCTGTAGAGTTGATGATCAAACACCCAGCAATTTTATCAAAAGCTGCGTGATCAAACCGTATCTGGATGAGCATTGTCATGAGAGCACACACCTCGTAGCATTCCACCCCTCTTGTTTTAAATGCCACGTCACAATTTCCGCTTTTCACGTACATCAGCATTCTGTTTCACCACGGGAAGACTCAATGAGCAGAACTCATCACATACTTCCTACAACATCTCTGTTTGAATTTGCCCTGACTGGAGATCCACTAGCCCCATGCATTGACTGGCCCCCTGCTTCTTCTGTGGGGAAGTCAAAATCCAGTCGCTGGCCCTGACTCAACAACTGTCACTACTCCTTCAGGAACTCGCGTGTCGTGATACCATTGCAGAAATGTCAGTGCTGCTCGTAAGCGTTCAGTTTTGTGTTTGGGTGTCAGGTTTTTCGGCACCTACTTGGCACACAATTTTTTGAACAGCAGGTGCTTAGTGACAATCGCATGCAACAAGGATTGAGATATCTGCGGAAAATGGCTGCTCAGCTCTGTAATCGTGAAACAACGGTTCTTCATCATGCGCTGCTGCACAAGCTCAACAAGATCATCATTGATGAGAGACGATTTGCCCACTGCACTCTTCATCATTTGTTTGACGACCTTCCGAAAACTGCCTACGCTAGCGATGTACCATCTGCTTACTCATAATGTTTGGCCCATAGACCTGACAATGAATTTCATTTGGCACAATGCTTTGTGCATTCAAGAACTTTATCACCAGCCAAACCTTGCAGGCGGCGGGCGAAGGAATAAGAGCTTCCATTTCGAACCACTGCTACCACGCTACTGGCATGAGGCGGGACCTGTCCGGCTGGCGTATGATTGATACATCTGTTACGCATGTGCAGTTGACACGGCTAATTACATTTACTTTAAAGGGGAAAACGTCAGGAAACTTACTTTCTGGATGTGTCTCGTATATATTTAGTTTGAAAAATATTTTAACAAAATGTCATTTTCTTATTTCTTTGTGAAACAAAATGCAACATCTGTCATAGAGTGAATTCCATCCTTCTTGGGCATTCACTTGCATCTTTCCAGTGGTGAATTTGACTGTTGCCAATGCATCTTTCTTAAAAATGTTTCTCTTTTTCATTCATCTGCATTCAACTTTATTTGTCTTTTATCGATAGAAAAATCAAGAATGCTTATCTTTGAATCATTACACAGTGAGGTGTAATTTTATCTATATATCAAGATTGCATTGGAAATCAAATGAAGAGAAATCGTTATAAGAATGATTTTTTCGTTATGCAACTGTCACACATTTTGGTGTAAGTGTATGTATATTAGAAAAGTTGTGCATGTGTGTGTATGCACATACAACACCAAACAGAAACATGTCAAAATGTTCAGCAGGTGTGTAAGGGAAAGGTACAAAATTTGTACTGTTGTCAAAAGGAACATGTTTGTGTGTTTCACATGTCATATTTACTTTCTCTGTTGGTGACACTATAGTAGTTACCTGCAATCTCAGTATCACTAGTGCTGGTATCTCACACCATGTCCCCACAACCTGCAACTACATTTAAACTAAACTTGTACACTTCTATGTAATGTAAACCTACAACAATGGATATTATACTCAGTTTTAAATACATGTTGCTGTGTTCTTACGTGATTTTATGTACCTGTTTCAAATTATGTACATGTATAAGCAGCACCCCTGATTTTCCTTTGTTTTTTGGTTTAAAAAAAAAGTGACTTATACATAAAAGAATAGAGTATTTAATTTTTGTAAACTGTATGATGATGTCACATTTGAGTCTAACAAATTGATGTTTAAACCTAAAAATTAACAAAATTTACTTTAATAAGTGACCACCTTGGACCTTCACGTAACTTTCAGTAATTCCCATGCTTTCAATGAGATGATCAGCCATCACAAATGTTAGCAGTGGCCATTCCTCCATTAGAACAGTTTCCATTTATTTGAGGCCCATCAGCGGCCAAGTGCTGAACAAAAGTCGCTGAACACTGGTGGTTCGGTACGAGGTTCAAATCCCGCGAACAGGCTGGCTGCATGGCCGTTTTCGTGATTTTCCCCATGTGTAACGTGTATACGAGCCAGTTTCCCTTAGAACGTCCTCCACAAAGGCATCCTTATCCTTCTGGAGATAGCCCTCGAGGCTTTGCTTTAATCACACACACTATTTATTTGAGAGTGGCTGAACAATGTAAATTTGCAGATATCATGCTTGAAGGCATCTTAAATACTTCTAATTCGATTAAGATCTGGAGAATATGATAGCTACTCCATGCAAGAAATGCCCTCAACCTTCAAGTATTCACTAACCATGTTAGCTCGATGGAAATGGCATCATTCATAAGTAGGAAATCTGGATAACTGCTGCAGCATAGTCTCTCAGTGTGGTACAGAATGCTATTCAACTGCTTCAGAATCCTCTTTAAAGATGTGCAGCTAGTTACAATATCCCATTGAAATTCCAACCTGTTACCTCTGCGCTACCATACCTCTGAATGCAGGATTTTGGATGGTGTTCTGAACCTGATTCTGTGTGCATCATTCTCTCCAGACGCTTAGACATTATTATCTGATGCCAGGATAAATCTGGACTCATCTGTGAACAGAGTATTGAATCAGTCTGAGACTTTGATGACACCACTTTAATCTTGGTCCTCTGTAGTAGAGCAAAAACATTTGATACTGGGGTATAGTCAGTTTAGCATACAGTATTGCAAGTTTTGTCTTATCAAGGGATACTACAAGCATGGAAGTAAATGTTGTAGAGGTTGCTTGTTGATTCATGTCGGTTATAGCAGCAATATGCCAATCTTCAGAAAGGGTGATAATCTTTAGTTGATCGGGCACAGGTCTTTAGAATACTGTTTGACATGTTTGAAATTGTTCTCACGTTTGAGAAATTACAGAATGATCAATGGTAAATAGAACAGGGACTCTTTGGTTGACTGTCCTGTTTCAATGTGTCTGAAACATGTCAGCACTTGCTATATCCTGTTTGTCTTCTTGCAGCCATAAAAACATGAATGTATCAAAAATTATTCTAGAAAAGTTAATATTTTATCAACATATGAATGAACTTCCTCAAATCCATTAGAGTGCTGCCATCTTCAGTGATTACCTAATTAACATGTGTTTGGACATTCATATGTCATGGGTTGTAATATAGAATATTTGCATACAGCCATCTGCATCCACAGAGATTTTCAGCCACTCAAATTCAACTATGCTTTCTAAAACTGCTAATTTGCATTATGTGCTTAACTTTTTGATGCCAGCATATTTGAGACTAACATGAAAACAAGAATATGTCAGTGGACAGTTAGTTTCTGATAATTAAATCAGGTTTGGTTTCCTTAATTTTTATTCTGTGGTTTTGTTTCTTCTTTTGGGAGTACGGAGAGGCATCACGACAACTCTCTAATATTTTTGCATAATTCTCTTTGATTAAAAAATGCAACATAAATTTGCCTGAAATGTTAGTATTTTTAAATTACATTGTTGTGTGCATAATAAATTGAATGCACAACTCCGATGAAGGTGAATAAAATTTATTCTTATCACAATGAATAAAAACAAAAATGCTAAAATTTCCTCAGAGATATTAGTAGAATATCCCAATACCTCACAGGAGTTATATTTTAAACTACTGAAATGTTTTACAAAACACAATTCAAAGCAGAGAAAGCTAATCCGAACTTGCCACGAATTCGCTACAGTAAGCAACAACAATTTTCTAAACAACTGAATTGAGATGTTTTCTTCCAGCTTTTATAAGCTTTTTAATGTGTCACGAGAAGCGTCTCGTAATTTCTCGAGTATTCTGGAAAGCAAAGGAGTACAATTCCAAGATATATATTTATTAAATGCGCATGCTCCTGTATTTAATTTTTATGGTGTAGCTTTTTCTTCAAATAAGTCTCGTGCTGCATTGTACGGGGATATAACGCAATTTTAATTATAATTCCCCTTAAAATAGCAAATTAAATACAAAATCTGTAACAATATAGTAATGTTAGTCATCTAAATGTGAGTGAGACTAATACACATTAATAACAGATATATTAGGTGTGGAGAATTCTATTCATCTTATGAAGCTGCTATTGATTTTGTTTGAAAATTAAAATGCAACTGCAAAACTTCTATTATAAAGGTAATATATAATTGTATATTGAAAGGGCATACCATAAAGTGTATGATTTATTTTAGTATTAGAAGTAAACTAAGTGACAAAATAGTTGCAAATCTTGAAATTCAATTAAAAATTTTTTTGAGTATTTTTTAATGATGCATGTAAAATTTATATAATCAAGTTTTCTAAATTTAATTTTGTTTTTCTTTTCTGTTTTGTTGTAGTTGTCGTACCGTAGAACATTTTTATATTTAATATAGTTCAGAATGAGTGTTGAGTCTACAGTTCAAAATCTGCACGACTGGCTTCAAAAAACAATGGCTTGGTTCTCAAGTTCTGCATCTGCTATGGACCTCCATACAGCTGTTATTTGTGCTGGAGTCTTTGTTATTTCAGCTTTAGTAGTTTATTTGATATCAGTTTTTGGTATGCGAGAACGAACATATGAAGAAGCAATTGAAGAACAACGGAGACGAAATCAAGAAGCTATCCAGCAAGCAAAAACTGATAAAAATAAAAAGGATAAGAAATTTAAAAAGTGGGGGAAACGGACTAAAGAGAAATCTGAAGAAGAGCGAAACACAAATTGTGAAGTTGAAAGTAAAAATAATACAAAAGAAAATGAAGTCAAAGGAATGGATCCTGAAGTTAATTGCTCTCCAGCTAATCAAATTTCAGATATGAAATCATCTGCCAAGAGGAAAGTTCGTCAGCGAAAACAAATAGTGGCTGATAAGGGAGGTAAGTACATATTCCTTTTTGTAGAAAAAATTAAAATTTAGCTGTATAAATTGAGGAAAAAAATGCTTCTTCATAAACCTAGGTGAAATTAGAACTAATGGTCAGTGCTTTTAATGTCAAATTCAACTCCCATAACCATATGTATTTTCATGTACAGATAACTTCATCTGTACATAAAACCTCAACCGTATTCAAATGGTTGAGGAGTATTTGTAATAGAACCAGAGACTTTTAGATGCAACATAGATAGGATATATATGTTGTTATCTATTTTAATTTTCTATTTTGATTGCTTAATGCAGAATTTATCAAAACCAAAACATTAGTAACAAAGATCCGATTGTTCCTCAAGTTTAAAATGTATGGCTGTCTTAGCCTTTTTTTTTTTTTTTTTTTTTTTGCTTATCATTTTATATGTGCACACTGGGTATTTATTATTAGTCAGGAGATCACTGCACCTTTTATAAACATTTTAAAATTATCTTTGTAAAGAAAGGTTTTTGAAAGTATTTTTTATTTATTAAATTGAGATTGATTAGTTTAAGGCAATTGCACAGTTCTTTAAATCAATTTGTAAAGCTCAGAATACGCTACATAAACAAAGTTGCGAAGATAGAGCTTTGCGACGTCCATAAATGGGTGGGATTAAGCTTGTAACGTCACAATGTATTCTCTCATTTACACTACGTGTACTTTCTACAGTCAAAAGTCGTTAATTCGGACACCCATAATCCGGAATGATCTATAATCCAGACCTCAAAGCTAAAATCTTTCTGCGCATGCGGCGCGTTGACGCATGCACATAGGCGTTTTACGCGTGCGCGTAAGACATTTACTACTGCACATGCATGTGCGCAAGCGCAGAAATGTTTCGCGTGCGCGGTTTGTAATAAACGGACGTAAAGCTAAATTATCTAATTATCTATTTCAGTTAATGTTGATGATTGCATTGTTCCTTAATCTTCGAATTGGATCCGGCTTATTATTTTTTTGCAGACTGTAAGAGCAATTTTATAAAAGTAAGCTTGAACTTTGATTATGTCAAATAGATTTCCGATCTGGAGCTCCCAAAGGATCTAGAAAACGAAAGAATGTTTCGATGTCCATCAAACAAAAAACGAATTGCTACAAAAAATGGATAAAGACATATCCTTTGTTTATCTAACCGTTCCGAAATCTGTTTATCAATTTCACGCTGCTCTGCGTGGGGGGGGGGACGTCGCAGCGCGCAATGAACTGGAAGTTGATCTGCCAGCACTATCGTTATCTTCAGGGCAGATGTTTTTATTTTATTCGGCTTATAATTCCTTACTAAATGTAGTATTTAATCTCGATGTACTCCGTCTTTGATATGATTTAAATCAAATTCCTCGTCATTATAAATATCACGAATACAAATCAAATAGTTTTCTGGTTGCAATTTTCTAATTTCGGCTATGCGTAAGTTATGCTTTATGCATGCGCGGGTTAAAAGAAATGTTTAGTAAAGTAAACAAATAAATATTGAGCTTCTTTTTTTGTAAATTTTGATACCCTTTAGATCATAATTACTCATTATTTTATAAATTATGGTTTCATATTTTTAATTTTATAATTTCTGCATGCCATCTTACCAGATTTAAACTGATGACCTATTATCCGGAATCACCGAAGTCCCGACGAGTCCGGATTAAAAACTTTTGACTGTATTTTCTGCTGAAAATAACAGTAATGAATTGTTTATTATTGTAATTAACATTAAATTCTTTAATTTGAATTTACATTTCTAACAGTTTAGGCTTTACTAAAAATGAGTATAATAAATTGTTTATATTTAAAATTACCATGATATAGTAAGTGAATTCTACCAGTTATTAAAACGGTAAACTATATCGCAGTCTCTTAATACCTGTATTTCATACAGCTTCAGTGTTTTCAAAGATTTAGCATTATACAAATTTTCAAAGGTTTAGCATTTATACAAATAAAAAAAAGGATTTTTTTAAATTTAAATTCATGTTATGGAACATTTTAATTTTATCATTTTTACAAATTATCATATTGCTACCTAGTGATATAATCCCTTACATACAAGTAGACAATTTTCATTATTTTCTAAAAATTTTAAACTTTATATTAACGAAGAAAAATAATTTTTATTGCATACAAACATCATACACAGCTTTCATATCGCTTTTTCTGTAGTCATATTCTCTGTGGGCATACTAGAATTCTACACATTAATAAATAAAAAAATCTAATTTCTCACAATGATAGAAAATAAATATTACTAATTTGGAATACTAAGCAATACTTCACACACACATATTATCAAGTGCATTTACGATAGCAAACGCAACGTATTAAAATAATAAGTTACTGGTACGGTCAAAATTTACAGTTTTGCTACTCTTGAGTAGATTGTCGGACTATCGATATGTATCATAAGTAGGAAAGCATTATCAATATATCGAAACAAAACAATTAAAAATGCAATTTAAATACAAAGAAAAGATATATAAAATATAATTTACAATTAAAATAACAATGCACAATGCCGCGGCAGGCGTGCAATGAATTGGAAGTTGATCTGTCAGCACTATCCTTATCTTCAGGGCAGATGTTTTTATTTTATTTGGCATATAATTCCTTACTAAATGTAGTATTTCATATCTGTCTTTGATATGATTTAAATCAAATTCCTCGTCATTATAATTCGCTTCCGATAGCGAAGAAAGTGACAGAGGTTATTGAAAATGAAAAAATTTCAATTGACAAATTAGTGGGTATTCTCGACACAGCAATTATAGGACTTGAACAGCGGAACTTTGTAACTGAACAAGAAATTATGTCTGTTTATAGAATTAAAGAGAAAGTATTATCACATAAAAAACGAAGCAACTTAAACAACTTACATTGAAAGAAATGTTTAATAAAGTAAACAAATAAATATTAAGCTTTTTTTTTGTAAATTTTTAGTTTTATAATTTCTGCATGCCATCTTGCCAGATTTAAACTGATGATCTATAATCCGGAATCGCCGAAGTCCCGACGAGTCTGGATTAACGACTTTTGACTGTATAACACTTAAATGGTCTGATTATATAACTTTTATCTTTCTCCTCTTCCCCGAAAGACATTATTTCCTTTCAACAAAATTTTTGTAAGTTAATCTAGTTTATGATTAATAAATAGTTATTTTAAACTTAATTTGGAACTACTCTTATATGCACCCTCAAGTCGCCAAATTTCTCGCCAAACATTTTTGGTGAGAAACTCCGTGCCGCCAGATTACTACCTAAATTTTTAGTCTACATTTCGAATTTTAAGCCTAAAATGTCTCCAAAAATGCGGTTTTCGCACAGGCAAAAACCACGTTTTAAAGACACAATTTAAGCTAAAATTCCAAAACAAAAACAAAAAACAAAAAAAAAAAAAAAACTTAGATAGCAAAAACATAATTTTCTAACCAAAAATATTTGACAAGAATCCATGTGCACAGCAATACGTTTTAACTTCAAAAAACATCTACGAATTGCACATTCTAGACAGCGAAGGAATCTACGAACTATGCACACCTGGCTTCAATAAATTAACATAACTATAAATTACAAAGAATACCATGTACACAGCATTTTGTTTAAACTTAAAAAAAAATCTACGAATTGCACAATCTAGGCAACGAATGAATCTATGAACTACGCACACGTCAGTTTAGTAAATTAATATAACAATAAATTTCAAAGAATACCATGTACACAGCATCCTGTTTAAACTTTAGAAAAATCTACGAATTGCACAAAATAAGCAACAAACGAATCTACGTACTACACACACCTCACTTTAATAAATTAACAACAATAAATTTCAAAGAATACATATATATTCGTTCTGTTTCAACTTTCAAAAACATCTACAAATTGCACAATCTAGACGCTATGCACTAATGAACAAAATAAATTAAAATAACTAAAATAAATTTCAAACTATTCAAAAAAATCAGCAATAACAACAGAAATTCATACTAAAAAAACAATGAACATAACATTCTACAAAATAAGAACAAGAATAAAAATGAAATGCACTTACCATGAATGAATGCTTTTTTGAACAGCAGAAATACCAATTTTATACCGCCTTTAATATACCACCACGTAATCACTATTGTATTTATATGACAGCCAGACACACTATCCATAAAATTCATACTATGGTCACAAATAAATGTTCAAAACCTTCTTTTCAGTTATCCAAAAAAATAGTTGTACAAGGCTCAATCCACTCTTTAATACACTGCATCAGCATTTCCTTACTTCTATCATGCACAGCCACTAAAAATAATCTCCCAGACCCTCTTGCAACCACATCTCTCATTCCAACATAGGCCATTACAAAACACTTACAACACAAACCAACGAGCAATTAAACCACTTCAGCAAAATTTTCAACGTCGAAAGGATTGCCATACAACACGCAGCAATCATGCCAAAACCAGCGCAGAACACACATCGCCACATTTGGTGATCTTAGGGCACATATAAGAGTAGAGCCCTTAAATTATAACTTTTATAAATATTTTTACGATATCGTAATCTTAACAAATTTATCACATTGGCACCCATTAGTGTGATAAATTTCTTCTTTGTAAACCTGTGTATTCATTCCCCCCTCTGATATTACATATTCATAAAACTAATATGAAATTCTGTTAAAATGGTTAAAATTATTAGTTGGTGCATTCTTGGAGAGTTCAGAATTTATTTATCTTCTAAATTCTACTGTTAACTGCTGTGCTGTTTAGTATAATTGTTACTTGAACCATGCAAAATTTAAATTCGATAATTCCATGTAAAATATTGAATTACATATAATATAAAACTTGCACTAATTTATATTATATGTAAGTCAGTATTTTGTATTGCATGTAATATAAAACTTCAGTTTATTTTTAATTTTTTCGTTTATGCTTTATTTTTTAGATGAATATTTTTTTATTAAAAGAACACGATCTGCCAATGCAT